GACCTGGAGACCATGTCGCCAGCTTCTTGCCCTCCTGACTCTTACTGTACCTTAAGGCTAGTCTGCCCCGACCCTGGCCAGGCTGTGCTGCTCCCCTCTGCCTCAGCGCTCACCACATCAAGTGGGAATGATGGCTTTACGCTCTGTGTCCCATGAGCATCCTGGCTCAGGCGCTGGGCTGGTGCCTGCTGGGTAAATGGAACCTCCCGCGGCGTGGTGCTCACCGACATCGTGGATGAACTGCTCAATCTTGGCCTGCATGCCCCAGTATCGGAACTCGACCTTGCACAGCTTATAGGCGCACATGAGGGGCCCCGTCTGAGCCGCCTTGTGTGCCCAGTCATCAGCCAGCGGTCCTCGGCCGGTCTTCACGGAGCGGTACAGCCGGGGGTCCTCTTCTGCTTTGTACTCTCCTGGGGCCACTGCGTCCCGCACGATGTCTATGGTGTCTGAGGGGGTTCCAGCAGCACTGAGCACCGCCAGCCCCCTCCAGCCCCTGCCACCCCCCTCTGCCTCCGGATCGGGAGGACATCCTTTTGAAGACGGGAAGCCACGGCCCGAGAGAGCCTGGGAATTGTCAGAAGCTACCCATCGAGGCGTCAGATAGCCTGAGAGGGTCCCCAGCGCCCCCCACCCCCAGCCACTGGCTTCAGGCCTCACCCAAGATGCGCTGTCTCCTCTCAGCCCCGCTCAGGTTAAAGACATTTGGTTGCTGCCCCCCATCAGGCAGATAATAGGTCTCTATTTCAATGGAGAATTTCTCCACAAAGGGGCAGGTGTACCTGGGCAGAGGTTAGGAGCAAGGGTCACTGCTGTGCCCACCAGGGCTCTTCCCCTGGTGGCCCCAGGCCTGTCCCGCCCACTCACCGGGTCCGGGTGTAGGGATAAGCATTCCAGGATTCTTCCTCCACCTGCAGGGCGGCCTTGGGCAGCAGCGCCCGGAACCAGCCTGGGATGTGGGAGCCCACGTGGTACACCTTGTGTGTGTACTGCCCACTGCCACCGGGCCCATCTGTGTAGGGCCTGTTGGCCAGGATCTCCACGCCACTGCCCTCACCACTCGACTCCTCCCGGCTCTTTTTCTGCAGTCCAGGACAGAGCAGAACGTGGAGCTCAGCTCCAGCTCAGCTCCTGGGATCCCAGCTTTCCCTGGGCCCCTGGGGTGCTAGTCCTAGCCTTTCCAACGCCCTGTGACCCTACCCTGCCCCCTGCTGCTCCTGGGGTCAGGATCATAGCTGCTGTGCAGTCCCCCACGGGTTCTGCAACCAGCACTCATTCAGTCAGTCAAGTATCTATTGAGTGTCTGCTTCAGGCCAGGCTTTGTTTAGGGTTATATTAGTCAGGATATGTTGGACAGAATAAAGACCCCTGCCCTCGTGGAACTTACGTTCTAATGGAGGCAGACAGACACAGAAAAAGCAAATTATATGGTATATTGGAGATAAAGTGCTATGGGCAAAAGAGAGCATAGATTAGGGTAAGGGGGGTTGAGATAAGGTTGCTATTTCTATAGATGGGCAGAGAAGGCCTCGGGAGAAACATCTGAACATGACTTCAAGGAGGGGTGGGAGGCGCGGAGTGGATGTGGGGTGGGAGGAAGTGTGCAAGGCAGAGGGGAGCCAGCGCAGGCTCCTGAGGCGGGAGCACGGTGCACGTGCTCCAGGGGCAGCAAGGAGGCCGGGGTGGGTGGGCTGAAGAACTGAGGAGAGTAAAAGGGGCCCTACCACTCTGAGGACCTGACCCTGGTCCCCTCCCTCTGTGGACCCCACAACCAGCCCCTGCCACACCCCTCCTCGTTGGAGAGCACTCAGATCCTGCCCTTTTATAGCTCTGGAGCCCAAACTTGGCCCACGCCACCCCGAGGCTGGATCCTGGCCCTCTTGCCCCTGAAGACTGATCCTGAAACACGTCTGGAACAGGCCTCCCTGAGGGCCTGGACCAACCCTCTCCCCTCTCTGCGAGCCTGCCTGGCCCATTTTTCTCACAGCCCAAGCCAGGCCCTACTCCCTTCCTCTTAGCCCAGACCTCCCTCACTTATCCTCGGGGTCCTCGCCTGCCCCTGTGTTTCAGTTTTGGTGCCTCATCCCATCCCATCCTCACCCCATCTCCCTGACCTGGGCTTTGCCAGGATCCTGCGGACTCTGGGGCCCCCCTCCCACTCCCACTCCCTGCCTCTCACTCTTGCCTCCCCATGTACTCCCTACCCTACAGGATTACAGATTCTGAGGAGGATTAAAGGAGATCATACATGGGCCGGGCACTGGGGGGATGGGGAGCCACGCTAGGCCCTCTGCCTTTCCCCCCACAGCCCTTACGATCTCCCCCTGCAGCGGAAGGGGGACCTCTCTCTCCTCCTCTGGCCTCAGCCCTTTCCAGGCCCGGAGCAGGACTGGTGGGGCTGCGCCCCAGCCCCCTGTCCCAGGTGCGGCCTGCATGCTCCTGCATGAAGTAGGGCCCCCTTGGCCCCCCGCTTCCCATCGCTCTCACCAGGATCATGTAGAGCTGGGCCACCTGGTACTCGTCCAGGCTCATGGGCAGCAGAATGTGGTACTCCTTGATGAGCATCCTGGAAGCGCTCAGCAGGATGCGCGCGGCCTCCGCTCCGCCTGGCGCAGGGCACGGC